GACTCACGGCAGCCCAGCTCCAGGTTGAGCTGTTGTTCAGCATCTTAGCTGTAGAGGGCAGTGTCACTGGCCCTCCCATGTGGGATCCAAACCGGGGCCCTCTGGCGTCCCAAGCCAGTTCTTAACCATCGCGCCACTCGGCCGGCCCTCAAGTTACTTTTTAAAATTGATTTTCTGGGGCCAAATATTAGGATAGATATGTTGAAAAATGTTGACAGTATTTCTAATTGTTTAATGTGGGAAGAATGGTTGTATTCATTCTCTCCCTGATTTATTTGAAAATATAGTTGATTAATAGAAGAATTTATTTGTTCTCTTTAAACACTAAATAAAAAATAAATAAACCTGAACTAAAATCATAACCCTTGAGTAAAAATTATAAACAAATTTTATTGCCTTCCTAAGGATTATATAAAAACCCCAACATCCAGAAAGAGCTTCTAATGATGGGAGAGTTGGGAGGGTTGATTTTACTCACTGTTCATCTAATAGAGAAATAGGCTCAACATGAGACTATCAATCCAGATAATTTTAAGGAGCCTGAATCATAGTTTGGGATTACTGGTTGAGGTTAATTCTTCTCTTCTTCCTCATCCTTTGTTATTATTACAGAAAGTTTTTTCTTCTTTCATATGTTCTTGTGAAACATTTCTTAGATTTACGATGGCTCCCTAAAATCTTTTTCGTCACTATTTTTCTTGCATGATTGTGAGAGAATGAAAACTTGCAGCTCTCATCATTTCAAATTAACTTCTGGGTATCTTAAAGTTCATTAGACAGTCATTTTTATTTGTTAAGTATTTATTGATCTTGGAACTTTCAGGTGTTATCAGTCAGTTTTCTTACCTGTAGAATTGGGGTGGTAATAACACCTCTCAGATTTGTGAAGATAAATAAGATAACTTTAAAAGTGCTTTATCATTATTATTTAAAACATTGGCTTTAATATTTTGCCTCTGGCAGATTTTTGTATCTAAGTAGATAGGTTTAAAGGCTTAAAATAGCTCATTCTTTGTGATTGTGATACAAGTTGAGTCAGTAACTAGACAGATAAATACAAATTTGTAAAACATATTCATTTAAATTTAAGTATTCTTGTTATAAAAATACTTAGCACAGAATTATTTTAAGAGGCAAATATTCTAGAATATTTGTATTAAAAAAGAAATCTTACCTGCCAGGAAACTTAAAGTGCTTGTTTTACTGAGAAGTAGAAATAACATCCAAAGTGATGGTGTATTATTTATTCATAAGTGTTTTAAATCTCTGGAAATACACTGAATTTTTAACAGCATTTGATTTATACATGTTTTAGGAACATATTTATTCAGCAAATATTTATTGAGAGTCTGCTGTAGGATTCTCAATGTATATAACTTATTATTACTGTACTAGAATGCTGCGTTAGCTGCTGCGTATGCACAGGTGAACCAAACAGGGCCCTGCAAACCAAGGTGTACTTTTGTACCTAAAAACCCTGTTTGTTGCTCTGCTCAGGTAGGGTCCTTGAAGCCATGTTGGGGTGGAGAGCTTGGGGCAAACACACCTTGAGTTGTGTTCTCTGTGTATTTTGTTGATTTGGTTCATGTTGGCACATTATTTTAAGTAAACTTAGTTTCCCTCAGCATTAAAAAAATTGTAGTCTGGAACTTTTCACTGCCATAGGTGCTAGGGTTCTGCCTGAGAAGCTGTGCTGTGTAGTTCTTTGCAGTGTCACTGGGGTGTGAATTTGACTCATCCTTCCTGTGAGGTGAAAGCGAGAGGATCAGTGAGCCAGTGGGTGCCTGAGCTGTAATGAGCATCAGGGAAGCAAACAGACATTGTTTCTTTAGGAAAGATGGCCTTATAACAGCCGCTCGCTCAAGCTGATGATTAGAGATCTAAACAAAAGCAATGGTTCTTACCTAGAAGATAAAAATGTCGAATAAGTGAAAGAATAAAATGTTAAATTTTGGATGATTTGGGGGTCAAATATGAATAAGTTTTACACAGATGCAAGAAAAGGTGATTTGTGAAACTTTTTAACAGAAAGCATTCATCAATAAGGAAAAAAATAAAAGAAAGTTAAAAAAGTTGGTTAACTTACAATGTTTGTATGTTTCTACTCTTGACAAGTGAGATTCAGTGAAAGCCTGACATTATACCAGTGCTTCTATGAAGAAGCAGATAGTAGAGCAGCTGGTGGATTAACCTTTATTGGTGAATATTGGTGAAGACATTATTTTAAATAGTGTTTCTCTTCCCACGGGCTGAAAAGATAAGTGCATTTTCCTTTGTGCTCTACAAACACTGGTGGAAGGGAGAGGTTACTGCCTGACCAGGTGCTCAGGACCAAACCATGACCAGTACCGGAAGAAAATGCCTTTCCTTCACACACAACACATCCAGGGCTGGAGAAACAAGCCTCCAGGTGTAAGGTAGACTCATTTCTGAATAGTGCAGTAGGCTTTTCAGCTAGATGGGCTGTGCTTTTTCATTTTGCCGGCCCCACCCCAAGGCATTAATGGGCAAGACTAAAAATCTTTTTCTTGAATGTTGGCAGTCTGCAAAAGCTTGGGTCACTTTGCACCTCTTGGGACCTTTGCCTGTGTTTTGGTGGTGTTTGTAAACAGGACCACCATTTCACAGAGAGGATGAAGGAGGCGCTTGTGGTGGTGGGCATCGCTGTCTCTGGCTCCTCTTTCAGTCCTTGCTGCTGTTATGGGGAGAGACATCTGGGGGTGCATTATGTCTCGGAAAAACCCTTCACTCCCTCCCCTGAAAGGCCTGGTTGGACCCCCGGGAGAGGTGGCCGATGGTCGTCTTTTTAGCCCTGTTTGGGGTCTGCTTCTGTGCTGGAGAAGCAAGCAGGGTCTTCGAGCATATGCATTATCTAGTACTTGGCACTGGGCAGACACCTCATTCAGGCTGTAGTCCTATTTCATAACAGAATAAGCGCTCTTGGTTGGTATGTTCATGAAGCATATGTATCACCCTGGGAACTTAGCACAATAGTGGAAGCCTTTGTGTAAACTGGGGTTTAGGTTCCAGTCCTGACCATTGCTCTTCCTGGGGCTGTGACTGTTAGCTTCTGCCAACTTTCTCCCTGCCTTCCGAGCGGCTTTCTAGAAAGAGTTGTTTATGTTCAGTCCCTCTTCTCACAGCCTTTCCCAGCCCACCGCCGTCTGGCCTCTTCTTCGCTGACCCATTGCTCCTGACCTTGATTGCGCAGTGCAGGATGTGCCTTCGCGCCTTCCTGAGCTGACCTCTGTGTGCCGCTGACCACTCCCTCCCCGAAGCACTGTCTCCTCCTTTGGCTCCCAGGACATGACAGTGCCCTAGGTTTTTTCCCTATTCTGGTTTTCACCTCCTTTCCCAAGCCCCTGAAAACCCACACTCCCTAGGGTGCTGTCCTCAGTTTTCTGCTTCTCAGTCTCGACTTCTATGGCCTAGAAGAGGTGGCAGTAATAGTGGCAGGGAGTCTGGCCTTTGCTGCTAGGCCGCTTGTTCGAGCCTCAACTTCATGTACTGCTTTCCATCTGTCACCTAATCTCTCTGGTTCAGTTTCTTCATTTGTAAAAATGGGGATGCTAACAAATACCTCCATCATAGGGTCGCTGTGAGGACCTAGTGAGCGCTGAGGCCCAGCCTGAGCTCCATGGGCATCACCCATTATGTCACTCAGATCGTGTTTCTTGACATCTCCAACATCTGTGTACACACAGTGCTTGGCACCTGAGCACTTATTGAATGGACGTTTAACCTCAGAAAACTCCTGAGAGGTAGCTGCCACAGTTCTCATCCTTCACACGGACCAGAGACCCAGAATGGGTCAGTGATTGACCACGCCACACACATAGTTAGGTGAAGAGCTGGAACTCGTCCATGGGATGCAAATCATTCAAGCCCGGCACCCCGAAGCTCTTGTCCGCAGGGCTCACTGAGAAGTCCCCAGGGCCTTCTACCCAGAGGCCAGTGGAAGGAGTAAAGATATGCGGGCCAGAATTCATCACTTAACACTTCCGAGACCTTGGAAAGTTGCTTGAATGCCTAAGCCTTCATTCTCCTCATCTGCCAAGTAGAGATAATTATCTCTGCCTTGCCTATCATTCAGGGTTATTGTGGGAACCAAATGACATATCTGATAGTACTTGTGCCAAGATGGGGGTATTTTAATTATCTTACGATTGTCTTGTAATTTATAATGGTTTAAGACAGCCTGAAGTGAGACTGTCAGGGTTTGAATCTCAATTTTGCCACTAATTAACTCTCTGCCTCCATTTTCTCATCTGCATGGTCAGTAATGATGGTTCTTTTTTCATAAGCTCATGATGTTAAGTGCATTAATACACGTGAGTAAGTGTTAAAAACAGGGCCTGGCTCATAGTAAGGTTTCAGTAATACGATTCGATGTTGTTGTCTGTGATTTTAATATATATATATTTATTTTATATATATATATATATATTTTTTTTTTTTTTTAACCAAATGAAAGGTATGTTTCTGAAAACCCTGACCGAAAGTGGCAGAAAAAAACCTAAAAATTATTATGGAAGTTTTGCTCAAGATCATGTCAGGCTTCTTTCCAAAAAATCCAAATCCTGTGGTTTTTTGTTGTTGTTTGTTTGTTTGTTTTAAACCCAAACCCCAATCGATACCTTTTAAAGCTGAAGAGTGTTGTGACTGAATTCTTGTATGTAGTTTAGACTTGAGGTGACTGGATGAGCTGGCCCTTGCCTAGCAAAGTACATAAATGAGATAGCAGTGCAATTCTTTCTGAAGGAACATCGACATGTAAGAGAAGCTGAAAGCTGAGATGATGTACATTGGTATTTTGGGAGAGTAAATTGAAGTTGTGATAACTTCTATTTCTGGTGTGGGTTTGGGCAGAAAGTATTAACTTATTTGTCATTGCTAGGTTTATTTCTTGACCATAACAGTTTCTCAGCGAGGAACTAAGAACCATTTTTTTCACCTCGTAGCATTTACAGATCACACCTAAACTGTTTACAATACCAGTCAGGAAGGTTTCTGATTTGGTGGGGATATTTTTTTTTTTTTGAAGTGTTGTCATGTGGCCTGCATTAACCGTGTACCCTTTGACTCTTTGTTCTGCAGGAAGTCTGCGGTCTTGTGGTTCTTCGGACTGCTTTAGTAAAGTGATGCCGCCAAGGAAAAAGAGAAGACCTGCCTCTGGAGATGATTTATCTGCCAAGAAAAGTAGACATGACAGGTATGTTGCCGAGACAGTAGATAAAAATCGATGACATACGTGTCAGCGAGGCACTTTCCCACCCAGTCTGGTGTGGGTCTTCTAAGTGGACAAATGCCAACCGGAACAGTGTTCTGGTTCTGCCAGGTGAACTTTATAAGTGTAATTATTTCCTGTCACTGATTTTATGCGTGGGTTTGTAAAATAAAAACAAATTAGGTAATTTGAATTCTTAGAAATTAAAGTTTTATCGTAGTACACTGATCCACCAAAACTGGTGTAGAGTTTCTTTCTTTCCTTTTAAGGGCTTGCTGTCTGTGCCTGTTGAGGACCACGGGATTGGTACGTATCTGTTTTGTAAGAGAGTCTCACTAAATGCCATCACAGGAACCCCATGATTGCCTTTGCAAGGGACCTGGACACCGCGGCTGGACAGAGCTGCCTGGATTGAATCCTCTCAGCCCGCCTGGAGGATTAGCCGAGCTGAGGTTTATTATTAGAGGACTGAGAATTGGTTAGAAACTGAAAAACAAGACTGTTTGAACTTCTTCTCTTTCAGAAAAGTGCACTGTTAATTTTGGTAACTCCAAAGGTCTGTTAGATTTGTTTTAGGCATTTTTATGGTTTTCACTCTAATAAGTTTGTTATCTTTTTTTTGTTTTGTTTTGTTTTAAACGATGAACAGACATCAGAGTTTTAATCCTTTCTGCTTTTTTCTATCTCCCTCCATTCTTATTCTGTAGGCCACTTCACTAATGGGCCTGAATTTTCACATCTGTAAATCAAGATGAAATTTTTCTGTTTCATTCTTCCCATATTACTTAAATATGCTACACCTCAGTTGGAGGGATAGAGAGATGGACTTTGAAAATGTGAAAATAACGTCTCTGTTCATATTCCAAATGAGGAGAAAATATTATCTAAAAGAAGATAGCAGTGATTTAGAAGATAATCATTAGCAATATTTAGACCAGTGATTTTTAGATTTATGAAGCCAGGTTACTTGATATAATTTCTTGGTGGTATCCATGTGATTTTCGGGGAATTGTTAAATTCTATTGATCACATTGCATTTTGTGACTGTATATTAGCATGTATTATTTTTTCACCACAGCCTAATATAAAGCCAGTGTTAAAGCCAGTTTAACTGGTAGTTGAGTTACAGAATGGTGTGCGGTACTCTTACTGACAGCTTTTCTGTGGTCACCCAAGGGAGAGGGAGCTAAATAGCATTATCTGAGCTTCATTCTTGGTCTTTTTTTTTTTTTTAAACAACTTTATTTATGTACCATATTGTTCATCCATTTTAAGTGTACAAACTCAGTGATTTTTACTAAGTTGTTAGAGTTGTGCAACCATCACTACAACCCAGTTTTCAAAGGTTTTCATCATCCCAGTTAGATCCCTGATGCCCATTCACAGTCACTCGCTGTTCCCACCCCCAGGCAACCATGAACCTATTTTCTGTCTCTACAGATTTGCCTTTTCTGGACATTTTATATAATTGATCTTTTTGTGTCTTGCTTCTTTCACTTAGCTTAATGTTTTTGAGGCTCATCTATGTAATAGCATGTACCAATATTATTTTTCTTTTATTTGCTGAATGGTACTCCGTTGTCCTTTTTTTTTTTTTTTTCTTTTTAATCTGAGCCATCCTACCACCTGTTGGCAGCTCACCGGCTGCTCAGTTCGGGCCGGGAATCGAACCGCTGTTGCTCAGAGCTCACACTCTTGAGTGAGCTCTTAACCAACTGAGCCACTCGGCCGGCCCTCCATTGTCTTTTTTTATGTAGAGTATGTTTAAGCAATTCAAATGTTACAGTGTCATATATTGATCTCCAGATTATTGACCAATTATAGACTTTGAGCTGCGATAGGAATATCTAGGCCCAAGATTGGAACATATCTGTTTGAACCCTTGGCCAGTATCCACCTTTGTTCCCAGGTAGAAAGGCAACCTTTTATAGAAGAAATACAAAATTTGTGGTTTGCAGTTTCAATATCTTAACACGCTATGACCATGTTCTTTTTTTTTTGGTATTAAAACTCAGAATCTCTAATCAGAGGTATATACAGATACTCTGGTGAATGTCTAGGTCATGAGTAAATGCTCATTTAAAAATATATATGATTTTTATATTGCATACTATGTAAATAAAAACTATAATATATTCATAAATGTGTATAACTATTTAGGCAATTTATATATAAATGAGGGATAAGAAAAATATATACTCATAATTTTTCTACCAAATCGCTGTTTTGAAGACACTGCATCCTCTCCCTTCCTCCAGGAGGAATATGTCAGTCCCCAGCCCCAGGTCATTATGAAATCCTTTGCAAGGCCTCGGTGTTGCAGGAGGAGGCTGCCATGCTTCCCGAGTCAGTGCTGTCTTCATAACACCAGGGAATTCTAAGAGAATGGCAGGAGCCAGGGTTTCTCTATACTTCTCTCTCCTGAGGTTTTTAAGGTTATGGTAATCAAGAAACCATCCAAGGAACTTTATCTCATCAACCTTACGCCTGATGTTTTTTTCCCCTGGAGGCTTGGATATAGTTTAATGTTTCTTTTTACTTCCTTAATGGTCCCTTGAGGTGTCTAACAGTGACAGGTTTTTCCTTTGACTGTGCCCTGTGTCCAACCTGACTTGTAAGACACAGAGGTCAGGAGCATTTAATGTGGAGACATAAGTGAGTGCTAGGGTCATCAACTGAAGAAAACACTGTATCGCACTGTCATTCTGTAGTTATTTCTGACTAGTGAGGTAGAAGGGAGTCTGTCAAATACCTGTTCTATTCAGTTCTTGTGGATTATTGGTTAATCAGAGAAAAACCTGTATTAAGTGCTTACCAGTTAATTCTGTGTTGGGCGTGACGATGTTTAAAACTGTAGTTATAAAAGCCGAAGCTTCAAAAACAGGAAGTAAAATACTTAAAATATACTTGACATACTGATTGAATAGATGTGTGGTTTGGGTAAATGAATAAAATCTATCTGCTATTTAAAAGAACTCGCTGTCTTTACTTTAAATGACTTAAAACTGCTTTCTCAATTTCTAGCATGTATAGAAAATATGATTCAACTAGAATAAAGACTGAAGAAGAAGCCTTTTCAAGTAAGAGGTGTTTAGAGTGGTTCTATGAGTATGCAGGTAGGTAATGGTTTCTATCACCTGAGACCGATCCTCATTATCAAAAGTAAGGACTACCTTAGAGGTGATTAGGGAATTAAAAAATGTGTACTTTTTGAATTTGGGGGGTGGGGTGGGGTGTGTGTGTGTGTGTGTGTGTGTGTGTGTGTCCCTGTTTGAGAGAGAGAACATTGTTGAAACAAATCACCAAATGTCCCACTATTTATAGCCAGCAGCTAAGCCAAAGAATTCAGAACACTAGAAGGGAACTGAAAAGATGAAATGCACTTGGGAGAAATACTTTGGATTGCTAGGAAACCTATTTAGAATGCTGGTACTGGATGGTTATTTGATTTACACATCAAAGTTAAAATAAGCTTTGCTACTTTGAACCTTTATGTAGTGCTGCAGTGGAATTTTTTATATTAAGTGTCTGCTTTGAAAGATCACTTGGCAGAAAATGTTTGTTTTGTCATTTAAATGTGTTAAATTCAGTCCCATTTTTGCAACTTATTATAATTGGTTGGATCGTGTAATACTGAAATCTAGGGTTTGTTTTTTATTGTGGCTGTGTATGGTATAAAAAAGAGAAAAAGAAAAATTTTCAGACAAGTTTGAGCTGAAGTTTCTTTTACCTTTCCTGTTCCCTATCTTATTTCCTATTAACTTGACTATTCCGCAACCTTCAAAACAATTTTGCTGTCATCAGTCCACCCCCACCCCACCCCACTTAAAAAACTCTGCTTCCAATGGGATGAAAGAGCACCAATTCCCTGCCATCTCTTTGCCTGGTGCTTTTCTCCATTTTCCATCTGACAAGCTGCTATACATCTTTAAAGCCCCCTAATTAGCTGAATATAGCCTTCTTTGTCCTTCAGGACATTGTTCACAACTAGTTCTGATACCCTTCTACTGGATAGCCAAGACAGGATTCCTCCCACCACCTGATCTTGCCCTTTTCCCCCACCCTACCCTTTTTCTGGTAAGAGCTGCCTGCCTCTTTGGCCACAGCGATTGTTCCAGGGGGCTGGCAGGTAACCTAGGCCATGCCAGTCAGATAAAAGCTCGTGGAATTTTCAGATTGAAGCTGGGAGAAGAGCATCTTTCTCTTCCCGTGATAGACTTGAAAGGATACGATCCTACTACGGTAGTGCCTTCGATTTTTCTGAGCTATCCCAATATCTTGCTAGTGAATTCCCCTTCATTACTCGAACCTGTTTGAGCTGAATTTTGTTTGCAGGGCACGGACACTAGGACAAACACATAGTATGAGAATTTATCTGTTTTCGCATTTACGTCATAAAAAACACGAATTTCTTGAAGATGTTTTGTATTCGTAGTAAAAGTAGTTGGCAGTTTTCCAGGTGTTTGGTACATGGGTGCTGAAATGAATTAAGAGTTTTCTCATATTTCTGTCACTTTGATTATGAAGATCTTTTGTTCTCTTTCATTGGTTCACATTTATTGTTATGAAATATAAAAAGTAAATATTACACAGACACAGCATACTTAATCCCACCATTATAGCACAGCTATTTTGATTATTTTGTGTGTCTTCCTTTGTGAGCAAATATGAATTTTTCCATAGTATAAGCCACACTTCTGTTTTTTTTAAAAAGAGATCAGGCGATAATTTTCGTTTTGTTCACAAAGATGACATTTGGGATAAAGCTTAAGCCACATTCTTTAGTTTCCTTCAGATCCCTGCTGGGTGGTTTCTTATAGTTCATCCCTAAGATGTTTCTGTGGGTCGTGGCTATCCCTATTTTTATAAATCCCCCCTTTTCCTTAATCTCGTGTATCTCATCAGTAGGGAGAATGGTTTGAAACTGGGAATAATTAAAAGCCCCAAGTGGTAACTGTTTCACTTTTAATATCCCAACCACATGAATAAAAACTATAGATCAGTATTATTCAAGGATGACTGACAGGTTGTGCTGTAGGGTGAGTCTGTGGGAGCAGGCTGTGAGTTCCCAGGCCCCCTAGATGCTAGAAGGAGGAGGGCTTTACCACCCATGGTGTGTCCACTTTCCTTAGGAGAGAGCCAGCTGGTTTGGGCAGACTCCCTGCACTTTAATTCCAAGTGGAGTGGTCGGGACGCAGGTGCCTTGGTGGTGCAGTTGTTTCACATGGATGGACCTTTAGTTCTCTCCAGAGTTCTCAGTTCCACTCTTAGACCTGCTCTCTGCTGTCCATGGCTCCTGTAGCCTGAGCCCAGGTCCTCCAGCTTCTGCCTGGCCAGTTAACGCAGCCCTCCTTTGCACATTCTCACCTTTTTAAATCCCTATCAACTCAGTATCTGTTGCTCAGAAATTTAATAAATGAGCCCACTCCACTGGGGGCTCTTGCTCCTGTTCTCCGTAGTTATAGGTTTACCCCCTTTTGTACTTTGGTATTTCAGTTCTCCGTGACTTTAGAAAGGGCCGTGGGAGGAAGGTGGGGGACTATAATTTAGACCTCCATGTGAAACCAGAATCCCATTTCTTTTTTATTAGAATGAAAATGACCAGTTTTTATAAACAATTTATCTAATAACTTCCACTTTCTGGGAGTATGTCTAAGAATAAGGAATTAAAGCAAGTACACAGGTGCCAGCATCGTGCAAAGTTACACTAAAGCTCACATATGCAGGTCATGAGGTGTACAAGTCCCGACTATGGGCCCTTAGTTATGTTTTTGGATTAAGCTCTGTAGCGGAAATTTTTTTTTTGTTCTCCAAATGAGATTAGGGACCAGGAGCAGGTGCTAAGTGTCAGCGAAGGAAGAGATATTAAAAGCTACCAAAGGAGGCAGTGGGGCCCGTATGCCTCAGTGACATAGCATGGTATAATTATGGGCACTTGACCATGAGGGTCTTGGCCCATTGTGAAAAGGTTATGAGGAAGGGTCTGAGTTTAGAGTTTAGGGGGAGACAAGGATTTGAAGCAGAGAAGTGACATAAGACTTTCAAACAAATGTTCAGGTGATTTTAATATTCATCCTTTGTTGAGTACAACCCCCTTATACATTAATTGTAGTTTATGATTCCTAGCATTTCATGGGGTCACAGATGACTGCCAGACACCCAGTCTTTGCTGGTGGGGGTGGGGATATTGGGGAGGCTGCCTGTCTGATTTAGTCTTTGAAGTTTGAAGGAGTTAGCCAGGGAGGATGGGGCAAGGGGAGAGGAAGGTGGGCTGAGGCCACAAGAGTAGTATGGTGTTGGGTGTGTGTTAGGATGTGTGTTCAGAGCAAACCACAGCTAAGTAAGTGTTTCTGTGTCTTAATTTTTATTCACTCAGAAATATTCATTCATTGATTCATTTATTTCTAAGAAATGTAATTTGAAGGTGGAAAGATACGAGGCTGAAGAGGAAGAGAGGCACCAGGTCATAGGGTACCTTATTTAATAGGCAAAAACTTTGGACTTTAAATAATAGCCATTAAAGGATTTTAAGCCAGGGTGGCTGTATGCAGGATGGGTCTGAGGGGGATAAGCTATGGAATTAGGGAGTTCTTCAGGGGACTGCTGCAGTCATCTAAGTGAGAGAAGGAAGCCTGAGTAGGTCAGTGCAGGATAAGTGCAATTAAGAAATATTGGCTCAGTTGGTTAAGAGCTTGCTCAAGAGTTTGAGCTCTGAGCAACAGCAGTTCGATTGCTGGCCCGAGCTGAGCAGCCGCTGAGTTGCCAACAGGTGGCAGGATGGCTCAGCTTAAAAAAAATATATATTGGGAAGGAAAATTGGCAGCACACTTGATCATTGATTGGATATAGAGCGTGTAGGAGAAGGGAGATACCCGATGGTTCTCAGGTTTCTATTTTTGGTGGTGGCGGTGGTGCCACCAATTGAGGAAATACAGGAGGATAAGCAGGCTTGGCATGGGGAGATGATGGGCTCAGCGAGGGGGTGGTTGAAAATGGGAAATGCAGGAGGAGTACATTTGGGGCAGAGGGTGAGTTGAGTTGTGGCAGTTACAGAGGTGGGGTAGCCAGACAGTGATGTGGGAGACAGTTCAAAAGTAAGGGGGAAAGTGTGGGCTACAAAGAGATCTGGGTAGTGCCTGAAACCTCAAGTATGGTTGAAATTTCCTGAGGAGAGTGTATAGAATGGACTAGCAGAGGTTTAAGAATGGAACGCCATACTACGAATTGAACAAGTTGGGAGAAGCAAAGGAACCCATAAAGAAGCTACAAGAGAAGAGGTGTTGTGGGGAAGCAGGCGAGAGAGGGCACTTTGCAGCAGCCATGGGAGGAGACAAGTTTTGTGAAGAAAGAACTTCAAACTTTCAGATATCACAGAGAGGTCAAACAAAATAAAGATGGACTGTGTCTATTAGAGTTGGCAGTTAGGCGGTTATTGGTGACTTTGGCAAGTAGAGTTTAAGTGGAGAGACGAGCAGAAACCGGATTGCAGTGGCTGAAAAATGAATGGGAGTAAAGTAGAGATGGAACATGGGGGACAGTTCTTTTAGGAAGAAACAAAGCTAAAGCTAGAATGGGAGGAAAGCTCTATTGCCTTATCAAGAACAGAAAGACTACTTGATTATTTTTCTGTATAAAAGAAACAATTGTGTTATTTCTCAGTTAATTGTATAAAGACCATTTATGTAGTTCTTTGAAACAGCAATTATAACCAAAATATGAATAGAGCTTTAAGCTATGTTAATAAAGAGCAGAAATTGAACTCAGGTAGCCTTATCTTTAGACATAAATTATATATACCATATGTCCATAGGTTGAAGGACATGGAGATAAATTGACTTAAATGATTGTGCAGAGAGCAGAATCCTTTAATGATATAACTGAAATTCCCGAATATTTTTCAATTTATACTCAGTGATTTCTTTCTTCAGAAAAGGAGTGATAGCCCTTAAGTGTTATTTGATTTTAGTTTAGTTTTTCTTTTTTTTTTAAAGATTTTATTGGGGAATTGGGGAAGGGGACCAGCCAAGTTATTGTTCTTTAGTCTTAGTTGTGGAGAGCGCCAGTCATCATCTGGCTTCCCAACGGCAGCTTGTGGCCTCTAAGCTCAAGGTGCTGTGTTCAATCTTAGCTGCGGGTGGGCATAGCCACCATCCCATGCAGGAATTGAACCAGCAGCCTTGTTGTTAAGAGCGCACGCTCTATCCACTGAACCATCTGGGCAGCAGCTCAGCTCAAGGTGCCAAGTTCAGTTTTAGTTGCAGGTGGGCGTAGCCCACCATCGAACAAGCAATCTTGTTGTTATACCAGCTGAGCCAGCAGCCTGTTGGCAGCTCAGCGACAGCTCAGCTTGGGCGCAGCATCACTGGCCCATGTGGGAATTGAACCGGTGGCCCTGTTGCTCAGAGCTCGCGCTCTTAAGCCAACTCTTAACCACCTGAGCCACTCGGCTGGTCCCTGATTTTAGTTTAGTTTAATAATGAATATTTTGACAATATAATACAGTAGTAATAGTGTATGTGGTTAGATTTAATTTATATAAGATTGCATTTCATCACAGGCACCGATGATGTCGTAGGTCCTGAAGGCATGGAGAAATTTTGTGAAGACATTGGTGTTGAACCAGAAAACGTAAGTCTGACTTACAAAGTTGGGTGAATAAATTGATTGGTTTTCATACGCCTTTTCTCCCTTGGCTAATAAAGCAACAACAAAGAAGTACTGGTGTGTTAGTTTTTATGAGGCAATCTAAGAAATATGTTCCAATTCTAATTTGATTTGTAAGTGAAGTTTTTTGGTGTAATTGGTATAGAGTCACTGCAGTCATTTTGTCTCTGTTGTTTAATTTCTAAAAGGTACAGTAATAAAGTAATTAAACTAGATTTAAAAAAAGTGATGTGGGCATGAGTACCTATAATAATAGATCACATGGGGGACCAAGTCATAGCATTGTGTCCTTTTGTCTCCCTCCGTAGTTGTTCTAGTAGTCTAATGTAGAATTTATCCAGAACTTTAAATAATTATTCACAAGGGTTTTTTTGATAGTTTGTAATTGTCAAGAATTTTTCACAGCTCTTTCACTTCCATTTGAATTTAGCTTAGAAAGCTATTGCTTTTTAGTGTAAAGGCCCTAAGTACTTCCTTTAAAAATTTAATTAGAAGTTATTTTATATGCTTAATTATTTTTGCCTAGTTCTTAACATGTTATTATTGAGTATTTTTTCCTGTTCCCCTATCTTCTCTCTTGCACTAAAATGGAAAATTCTGCTCATACAAATGCCCAGATCATTAGCTGTGCAGTTTAATATTGCATTAGCCTCCAATTTAACAAATATGTCTTAGATCCTAATTGAATTTATGATCTGGAAGAGATCTCAAGAGAGCGTCGCCTTCATTCAGACTGTTTGCAAGGTAACTAGTGTCCATGCATGTATGTCATGCTCTTAACGAAAAGTACGCATTGAGACGTCACACTTTTTTATTAAAACTATTTTTTCTCAGTACTTTTCTATGCTTCTGTCCCCCACCAATTTCCCTCAATAACACTTTAAATTTTCCAAAGAGCCTTTGGAATGTCTCTAACTTACTACATGGATTTTTGTCTTGTATTTTTAATTTTAGTGTGATCTAGTTCAGGTATCTTGATAAATTATTCAATTTGGCATAAAGGTTGGGGACAACTGGGTCAATAGAGTTTTGCCTGATCTGGTCCACAGACTAGTTGCAGACATAGAAAAGAACATTTCACTGACTTTAAGAAGAAAGTGTTTGACCGGACCTGGCCAAGGTTGGCAGGGTGTTTCCTGGACAGTATGAGTGAGTTGGACCCTAGAGGGGATCCAGAGATTTCACCCAGAGGACAGTAGTTCCTGTTGGATCGATCGATCGGAGGGGTGGGCAGCAGGGCCAGTGGGGAGGAGGAGGTTGGGAGACTACAGGTGTGAGGGGGACTACGTGAGCATCTACTCTCAGGCGGAAAGGCCTGTCTGTTTGGGAGGAGGTGCTGATGTTGATTCTAACTGAAAAAAAAAAAGAAGGGGAGGGGGGTGTCAGATCCTCAAAGTTCCTCACCCCCAAATACCAGTACTCAATAAAAAGGAGCTGCTACTATTACTCATTTTTGGGCACTTGTGAGCCCTTTAACGCTCTGTTTCTGTAGAGATAGAAATATTCTTGAAATGTTGAGTCATGCAAGTTGAAGACTAAAAGACCAAATTTAGAATATTATTTTAAAGTATTTATTGCTGTACTTCAATTCTAAGATGCCATTAATAGAAGTTGTATTATTTTGTATCATTACTAAGAAAGAAAAAATGTTGCTAAATAACTTTAAGATGACATTAATTGTGGACATATCCCAATTTCAGAAATATTAACATTTGAAAAAACAGGTGGCAAAAAAGTTTTTAAAAGGCTGTCTTCATCGATGAGTAAGCACTTTAAACTATTTAAAACTCCCACCTTGCCCGATATTTATAGCTTATGAAATTTAAGCAGGCTTGTAAAATTCAAGCCTGCTTTCATTTACTAAGGCACTGGCAAAATCCTTTATTTAAGTAGTTAGCTTCCTTATTAGCTATCATAGGTGTGTTTTGTGTAAAGAAACATTGTGACTATCTGCTTAGCAGTTCAGACATATTTCATGTATACTCGTGTTCTTGGGCCTTTACCATTTTTTTTAACTTAAGTGTTTATGTGGAATTTTTAATCTTTTTAATAGAGGATTGAGTATAGATATTGAGAACATGCCAAATTTGAATTAGAAAATGTGGGGTTGTTCACCTAAGTCCATGGATATACAGGAGTCAGAATTCTAAGAAAAGCTGAGTGATGAGGAGAAAATTCACTAACGTGTGAATATTTCAAAGAACATATAACCTCTTCTTTTTGGGAAACTCTTCTGTGTACCCCCTCAGCCTCTTAAGTTACCATTTTTTAACCTAGTTCACAATCTTATTTTATGATGATGTATATAATATGTAGACGCATTGATTTACCGTATTTGCCGGCGTATAAGACGACTGGGCGTATAAGACGACCCCCTAACATTTCCACTCAAAATACAGAGTTTGTTATATACTCGCCGTATAAGACTACCCCCTCTTCCGCACACCTTCCACACACCAAATAAAAGGTAAAACAATATCAGATTTGATTTCAACATTTTAATTTATATTCAAATGCTTATGACATGCAGGAAAACTGTCACAAGGCTGTATGTAATCAAACATATACATAAAACAGTGCAAGTTTATTACCGGTAAACATACCGGTAATTCACTAAAGAAAACACACTCTATAGACTGGTACCGTAGATTTTGCGAGTGTGGTAAAATCGCATAACAGCAAAATTGCATAACAGCCGAGCATACACCCAGCAGCGCTGCTGATGCCTGAACGGTATGTGGAATGAAGTGGGCGGGCATCGGGAGGCCACTATGGCACGGGGCAAGCACTATGGGCAGTCTATCTGAAGTGTACCTGGCGTATAAGATGACCCCCCACTTGGAGGCATATTTTTCAGGGCCAAAAAATCGTCTTATACGCCGGCAAATACGGTACTAATCAGTCCCCATAATCTACCTAGTAATCTAGATTTTTAAAATCTAAAATACCTGGTGACTTTGAAAAAATGGGTATGTACTGGTTTAATTGATATTTGATGAAAGGAAATTTTAAACAGAAAAAGTACAGTTAACCCTACCATCATAGCGGTGACTTTGATTTTTTTGTGTGGCCCCCGCTGAGACGTTATTGGGCCACGCTGCTCCCCCTGTACTCATTCCAGGCATGGCGCCATTTAAGTGGAATGTCGGGCTACTTTAAAATAATTTCCCCCGGTGTGTATAGTTGCATATTTATAAACATGAATGTATTTGTGATACAACCCCACTGTATACAACACCACCCACCTTTTTACTTTTTAACACTCTGTTCTGCATCTTGCTCTTTTCATTAAATACATATTGGAGGTTGTTCCCTATTTGTACTGATAGATCTACTTTATTTGTCTTAATGGTGGCATAATATTCCTTTGTATGGAGTGTATTTAGCAAAGAGGTATTTAACTAGCCCCTTGTTAATAGACGTGTGTTTGTTTTCAATCTCCTGCTACTAAACATATACTGCAGTAAGTATTGTTGACTCTGCACCTTTGCATGCATGTACAGGTGTGTCTATAGGTAACTCTCCGTAGGTGGAATTACCAAGTAAGTAACTGGTTTTAGTTTTGGTAGATCCTGCAGAATTGCCCTCTGGAGAGGTTAATCGCTTCACACTTCACCATCATGCAAAATGAGAGTATATGTTTCTCCATGCCCTTGTCAGCAGACTGAATTATCAAACTTCTAGATGTTTGCCAAACTGGACTCATTTTCTGAAGTTATCTTGTTCACATTTCAGTGACTAAACTACCGGGAACAGAAGCATTTGACAAGATGTTAATGTGTTTAACTGATAAGATCTGTCGTTCTGATTTGATTGGGCTTTCTATTTTTTGTTTTTGTTTTGTTTTAACAGGTAGTTATGCTTGTCCTAGCTTGGAAATTGGATGCACAAAATATGGGTTATTTTACTCTACAGGAGTGGTTAAAAGGAATGACTTCTCTACAGTAAGTCCAGAAGTTGCACTGTGGGGGTCCTTGCCCTCCCAAGCGGATTGTCTGCCCCCTGGGATCTCAGAGAGCCTGGGGTGGGTGACTGAGGAAGGCCAGGTGACCTGGCCAGGCATCACCTGTGGCCATGGATGTAAAGACCAAGCTCCATTTTTACAAGATGAGAAGGGGAGGGCTATTATGGTTGAATGTTAGCAATTAAAGTTTTTATGTAATGTATATTATTTATTTTAGTATTCCTCTAGAGCAGCTCTGTCCAATAGAAGTATACCAGCCTTTTCTCATGTATGTGAGCCACATGTGTAATTAAAATTTTTCCAATAGCCACATTAAAAAAAGTAAAAAGAAACAGGTAAAATTAATTTTAATGTATTTTATTTAACCTAAAATACTGTAGAATGTAATCAATATTTTAAAAAAAATCAATGAGCTCTTCTACATTCTTTTTTCATATTACATCTTCAAAATCTGATGTATATTTTGCACTTATGGTATATCAAAATTTGCATTAGCTGCATTTCAAGTGCTCAGTAGCCATATGTCTGTCTAATGGTACTTTATTAGCACAGGGTTAGAGCTCTGAAAGCAAAGGCTTATTAGCATCTGGTTTACAGTTAGTGTGAAAAAAATTGAGTAACATAAAACTTATAAGTAAAAATGTTTAATATCTTCTATTTTATGTATTGTAATTTCTGGCAAAATTGGAACTTCATTACTTTAGTGATTAAAAAATAGTAATAGAGATCTTGTTTGAGTTACCTGGCCCAGAATAAGGAAAAAAAATCAGTGGTTTTATGTGTGTACTTTGTGCTTGTGGTGGTGGTGGTGATGGTGGTGGTGGTGGTGGTGGTGGTGGTGGTGGTGGTGTGTGTGCTAAAAGTTTCATTCAAGAAAAACTGTTCTATATTCTTTGAAGGATACAGTTGAGGTGGATGACTCAACATTTCAAATTGCATTAGAAGGGGAAGTGCTAATTCTTAACATAGTATCTTTGATCTAGAGTACTTTGAATCACTTCTGTTTTTTTCTTTTCACTTTAACTAGGAATAATAGACTTTGATTTTTAGTAGATTAAAATTGGAGTTGAAATGGTTTTATCGTTTTATTTAAATAATTTTGGAATATGTCAGCTTTTAGTGTCATTACCCATTTGTTATTGTTGATAATACTTTATTTGCTTTGTGCTTTAGTAGTTTATGAAGGCTTCTCACTGTTTTCCCATCTGAGCCTCACAGCTGCCTAGACAGATTAGGCTTGATCCTTGTGCATTTTACAAGGGAGGAAACCAAGGCTCAGAGGGGATACGTGATTTGTAAAAGTAAGTGGCAGAGATGGGAAGAAAACCCAAGACTTCTGATTCTTCCTCTACTGCTATTGTCTGATGGCAAATGAGTTTAGGTAAAAGGCAAATCACCCTGTTAAAACTACGCTTTCCCCTCAGCATGCTCTAGAATTTAGGATTAAGTCCTTGAAATCTCTAAAAATTGTATTGTGTTAGCAAACAGCTCCTTACAGTTTTAAGCCTATTAACTCATTGTTTTCCTGCCTTTCTTTGTTGCTCTCTGAATAGAGTACATGATGGCTACTCTTTTTTGAAGTGTCCTTGTAATGATGACTGCATGGCCTTATCAAGATTTTATTTCAAGGCTTCAGAGGAGGCACTGTTAACATTTTTTCAGGCACATTTTCATTTTTCTTAAGAGTGTAACATCCATTTTTGTAGAGTTCTGTGTTCTTTTTTACATTTGCCTTTAAAAAGATTATTGCCAGGCCTCGCCCATGTGTCTTCAGGGCCTCACCACCTGGGAAATGAAATATGTCATTTCCTGGAAGAGGTCTATATGTATGTTTGGGGTTGGGGGGAACACTCCACAGGCTCCTTGTTGGGGACTCTGCTTGGCACTGTGTATGACACAGGTGGTGACAGTAGGCTTCTATGGAATGCTGCTACTTGGTCCTTGCAATTCAGGGTGCAGTGACAAGCCTGGTCCATGTAAAGGCATTGAAGAACCTACTTTCTTTTTGTGATACAAATCTCTGAGACTGGTTTCCTCATCAACGCTGTGGAGATGATTACTCATAATAACCTGTAAGGTTCTTTGTAGTTCAAAAATAGACCAATTTCATGTTTTAAGAACCTCTACCCCCCACTCCCTCCAGCCTCTCTCGATTTGTCATTTGTTCAGCAAATATTTGAATGGCAGTGATTTGCCAAGCAGTATTCTAGTCCCGGGGAAACAAAACCCATGAACAAGACAAAGTCCATTTGGGCCTGGGGCTTGAAAGCAATGTTCTGGCAAAAGATCCAAAAGTAATAAGGCCACTTCTCTTTATGATATTTGAGTTAACTAAATAAGTGCACCCAGTAACTAAGAAAACTCTGGCCAACCATTTATATGCTCTTAAGATGGAGAGTAGTCCATTTTTGAATGATCTGTTTTGTCTTCTATTTTGGATTCTTTTGCCTTTCTGCTCAGTTTTGGTTTTGTTAAACCTGTCCAGTGAACTGTTTCAGACTCAAACTTTAAAGTGTACATGACAAAACCTGCATTTACATATACTAGTAGATTTGATTAAAAGGCTGTTTTTTTGTTGTTGTTACTGTACAGTGGGAGTATGCTAGAAATAGAAATCCCACGCATGGGTTTTGGAACTAGAGAGTTTTGAATCAATTTGGTCACTTCCTGGGTGTGTCTGGTAGCATTTCTAAAACCAGGAAGGTGAAGTGATAAAATGTGGCGTACACTTGGGCACTCAGAAACCACCCTTGACGCCGTCTAGGGGCGTTGTGGGCAGGGACTCCGCAGGGCTGGGTTTTGTGAGTGTTGGAGGAAGTGGCATCAGCTGGTAGGGAATGTCTGTCCCCTAGGTCATTAGTCAGTGAAGGCACAGCTTTTGTTTAAACTGACCGTTTGTTTTATTGCCTTGTTCTAACATGTGGGTTTAAGGTTACCTCTGAATTAAGCTTTATAGGGATGTTTAATCTAAACAAACAAAGTCTGTTAGAGTTATAGCTAACTTTGCATAGAACTGATGATGGGCTGGGAAACTTCCTTTGGGCTAATAACTAAGTAAAGGGGTGAAGGCCCTTTCTGGGTAATGGGGGAGAACTACCTTTGATTTTATAACCTTTGAGGATTACTGTCCTGATTTCTGTTGCTTCTGATGTGTTTCCTGGCAGCAAAACTCAAATAAGAAGTGATCCCGTGATAATGTGTATATTTTGTTTAGGGAAGTGATGCTCTGTAGCGGTGTGGCACTGTTGCTCTGCAACGTCTGTGAGTTTTCTTATACATGGTACGCAGCAAAGCAGGGGGAAATGGATAGAAGATGTGGCTGCTTTCTGAAAAATCTCAGGCTGATTGCTTCGACTTCCCAAGCCTGTTTCTTCACAGGACTGTTGTTAGAACCGAGTCACCTCAGATGATCCTGTTGAATGGCCACTAGATGGCAACCTATGGGTCAGACAGGGTGACTCAGCGACCCTTTCCCTAGTGGGGTTAGTTCAGAGGCTTTGTGGGACAGAGCCCCTTTTAAAGCAGATTAAATTCTTCATCGACAATATCATCTCTACCCATGTAACTATACTTAATAGATACATGCAGTGAAAATTTTACTTTGGGCATTTTATACTTGACACTGTAGACAAGACTTCTTCCTGAGTATCTTTTAAACATAAGGACGTCTTTTGCCGGGGTGGCTGGCCTCACTCCCAGGCATGCTGCAGAACTTGACATTTCACCTTGCAGCTCTACCCACAGACTCCCAGCTGTTTTGTTTCCTTTTAGGTTATCTACAGGAATGGTTCCTGCCCTGAGTCTGTTTAGACAAACAGCTGCTCTTCCTCTTACTGAGCAGGACTAAACCGGCCCACACTGGGCCGGTCTCCTGTGGCTTTGGTTTGGGATCTTCCTTTCCAGTGAAGAGTAGGGACCTCCACCTTATGTTTTAGGGTTACCATTTCCTCCTCTTTGATCTTTCCCCATATTATTAATATATTATTTATATACACAGTCATAAATCAAACCATACAGTAGAGTACCCAGTGCAAAGTAAGCCCTGCTCCCACTCCTGCCTCCTAGACTCCCACTATTGTTTTCTTGTGTACCCTTTTGCCCTCAGTTGCCCCTCAGTTGGGTTCGGGCACTAGAGCTCTAAGTAGGCTATCAGTGTCTCTTTGTTTCCCTTCCCTAACCTTTCTCCACGGAGATCCAGAATGAACTTTTCAAGATGCAAGCCTGATTGTGGTCCCTCCCATGGTTGGAGGTGGCTTCCATTGGTTCCAGGATTCAATAAAAAACAAAATGGGGCCGGCCGAGTGGCGCGTTGGTTAAGAGCTGGCTTGGGATACCAGAGGGCCCCGGTTCGGATCCCACAGACGAGGGCCAGTGACACTGCCCTCTACAGCTAAGATGCTGAACAACAGCTCAACCTGGAGCTGGGCTGCCGTGAGTTGCCGGCGACGGCGTAGGCTGCAGTCCCTGCTGCAGTGGGTTGCCATGGGCTACCGTGTGTAGCCAGCACCAGCGTGAGCGGCCAGCAGCCGCAGTGAGCGGCCCTCCAGAAGCTGGTGACTGATCTACCTCACCCGGGAAGAGCGCAATGATGGTGCCAACTTGGGCCAGTGAAGCAACGTCCTCCACAACTAGACTGAAGAACAAAAGGACAGCAACTTGTCTGTTCCTCTTACCCAATTCCCCAATGCTGTTCCCCTCCCCCAGTTCCCCAATAAAATCTTTAAAATAAATAAAAATAAAATGAATAAAAATAAAACATAGTGAACCACAGAAACTCTTTATGGTCTGGTCGACCTCCCTTTCATCCTCACCTTGTACCACATTCCCTCTTATTCTACCCAGTCTGGTCACAGTGTTTCTCTTGTAGACTTTGTACTCGCCATGCTTCCTTCTGCCACCAGGCCGGCCCGCATACTGTTACTTTTATTTGGAAAGCCTTCCTCTCCAAAAATGGCAGTTTCTGCTTATCTTTCAACTGTCAGTTTACATGTTAGTCTCTTAAAGAAGGTTTCTTTAATAGTCTAATTAGACTTCCAGAATAGTTTAATTTTAATCTTTTTTCAAGTACTGAAGTATTAGAAATAAGGACATTCTAAATTGTTAAATGAGGTGTGATAAAAAAATATGGTGAATGTTTAAATTAAAAAAATTTATTACAGTAAAAGACACATTGCCATTAATCCCCCTCAAAACATCCCCCTTGCTTCAAATACACTTATCCCATCATTCTTGCCATTTTCTGAAGCAGTTCTGGAAGTCCTCTTTCATGAGTGTCTTCATCTTCTTATCATGACAACGTTCCATGTCACATCACTTCTGGTACAGCAATTTTTGTCAAAAACGGTACGGGGCATCCTCATCCACCTTATTCACCAGATCTGGCACCAAGTGACTTCTGGCTCTTCCCCAAAGTCAAAATGACCATGAAAGGTAAACGTTTTGGATCGATTCAGAACATGGAGGCAGCCACGACAGCACAACTAAAGACACTTAGAAAAGAGGACTTCAGAACTGCTTCAGAAAGTGGCAGGAACGATGGGATAAGTGTGTTCAAAGCAAGGGGAAGTGTATTGAGGGGGATTAATGGCAATGTGTCTTTTACTGTAATATATATATTTTTTATTTAAACATTCACTGTATTTGGTGATCACACCACATAAACTCACAGAAATGAAACATTTGCTCCAATTTTTGGCTGTTAGAGATTTTATCTCAGTAGATTATGGGGACTGTTTTGTAGTAAGCTTTCACAAATTTATTGCTAAAAATAGATCAGTGTGCTCTATTATGAACCATATTTTAGTTTATAAAGCACAATATTTACATTGATAATACTTGTTATATGTATTATCTATATTTAGTAGCAGGTAAAAGCTCTATAGAGAAACACAAAGAAATACATCCAGTGTTGAAAAGCTTTAATATTACTGGTGAAAATGGTGACTTGGTTCTCTAAGGGCTAGATATTACAAACAAAATTAGTTTATAAAAATAACCAATTATTCTACTTAGGAAAATAAACAGTATGCCACTTACCTATAAAAATAGGTTATGATCACCAGGGCTCCATAGAGAAATAGCTGATTTCAAATCTAGGGTAGGGAAAGTACGAGGTGAGCTAGAATGTCTTGTGTTAGAAAGTGAGGATGTGCTCCAAGACTGACGGGGTCATGTCAGGAGGATCCTGGAGCCAGTCTGAAGGATCCACTGCCCAAATGAGGACAGTTTGTGCATCAAAAAGAAGAAAGACAGTAATAGATTATAACACTGAATAAAAAACAAAAATCTTGAAGTCCAAAAAAATAAGTGGTGACTAGAACTCTTTCTTCTTTATAGAAAAATTCCAGCCAGCAAGTGTAAAAAACATGATAGTTAGAAAAATTACCATTTTGTATCTTCAAATGTAAAATCAGTTGAGACAGGTATCACCAATGGATGCTAAAACCACTGGTGAAATGTAGAGGAACAGGATTCAGAGTCTCAAGATACCAACCCACTCACTATTTCAGAGGAGGAAAAGTACCTTTAAAGGGGGCATCTGATGGCAGTACCTTAATTAAGTGAATCAACTCAGCATCACCAATAATGGGACAGACTGAAGTTACCAGCCTCCTCCTGGGGTGCATGGAGAAGGACATCATGTGTTTAACCAAAATATGATCATAGGGAAATTATCTGACAATTTGAGCTTCTATAAAAAAACAGCCGCTATAAAGAAAATTGGGGGAACAATTTGGAAATTGGTAATGTGGGTTGTGTATTAGCTAAGAAAGTTAATACCGATAGAATATTAAGAGTGATGGTATTTAAGTGTTTAGGAGTGAAGTGTCATTACGTCGGCAAGTTACCTTTAAATGGTACAGAATAAAGTGTGTGTATGAGAGTACATGTGTGACAATGTTCGTTGTGAACTGAGGGGGATGGGTATATGGGTGCTTATTTAGTATTCTTTCGACTTTTATATACATTTGAAATGTTTTAAAATAAAAAGTATATGAAAACATCAGTCACCATGGACGTGTTCCAACTCCAGGGTTTTTGTTCTGTCTTTTGGTATTGTGTTTTATATTACTGCCCCAGTTAAGAAAGAAAACTTGGGTTATAATTTGCCTTTATTCTGTTTTTCTAGATGTGATACAACAGAAAAACTCAGAAATACTTTGGATTACTTAAGATCATTATTAAATGATTCTACAAACTTTAAACTTATTTACAGATATGCGTTTGACTTTGCACGGGTGAGTTCTCTGGAGCCTATCCAGATGTTTCCCTTTTTTTTTTTTTTTTTTTTTTTGTGTGTGTGTGTGTGTGTGTGTGTGTGCCTTTTGAGGTTTGTTTTTACTTATTACAGCAAAGAAGTTAATAAGTTACTCCCAGGATGCTAGCTCGAATTTCTTTCTACGTGTATATTTTCTAAACTAACTCCGATTCTGTAGTATAATAAGCAAAAAGCTGTAGTGGCAGACCTTTCGTAGCTCTTGCTTGGAAGTAATTGATAATGCGCATGTAGTAGATACTGTTAATAAGGATGGTAAAGCTTTTCCTTCTCATGAAACAGCGCATCTTCACCATTGGGTTTACTAGAATAAGCTCATCAGATCTCATCTGTTTTCACTTTGGGTGCTATATTGTATTTGGAAATCATTTGACTTTCAAACCTAATTTCAGTGAACATTATTCAGATGTAATTTCTAACCATCATTTTGAAAGATGGTCATCTTGTTTGTTACATAGTGAGCCAGGTCCAGGTATGTGACAGTGGTTCTACTGAGTGAAATCAAGTCTTGTTTTTCAGCCTGGTCACCATAAGTCATAAATGCTGAGGCACCAGTTTCCATTGTATTCATTCACACACAATCCACAGCTCATACAATTACACTTTATTCAAAAATGGTGTTTTCTGTTACGTTTGTATGTTTGATGAATTCGGGTGACTAGGCTTTCTTGACTGATTGCATTTTTTAAATGAATTTTTTTTATTAAAGCAGAGATGTCAGTGACAAATGATTTTTTTCTTTCCTACCCCCATGCTGATATTTTTCACATTTTACGTGCTTTGGCTCTGCTAGTTCAGCACCAAAGGTTTATTCAGTGGTGAATTCTATAACACATTGGTAGTTTTCTGTGGTGTCCTCATTCGTAAATTTTTGCGTTATTGCAACTTTCAAATAAAATGACAACATGAATGGAAATTTATAGTTGTTAGAAATTATATGGTAAAATTCAGATAGTTTTACTAAAAGACATTTGTGTAGTTACGAATAGAAGTTATTTGCCAGAATGCTTTTAGAATAGATGCATAGTTTCTAGGATTAAATATTTTATTACATGAGATTTTTTTTCCTCCCCAAGTTAGCTGTTTGTTATTGTATGGGTCAAAGTTTGTTTAGAAGAAACTTTCTAGAAAATAGGGCTTATTTTTTAACTTCCCTGTTTGGGGTCAAATTTTACCGTGTGTCTGCTGCTTTAGACCCAGGTTCCATTTGACTCCTCCCTGGCTGTTACTCATCCTTGGTCAGTCCCCTTTGGTTGCCTCTTTCATGGTGCTTCTGCCACAGCCTTGCTGGTTGAGGCCCTTGCTACTCCTTGCCTGCACTGCTGCAGTAGCCTTACTTCCACATGTTTTCACATCTCATCCAGCATCTACATCAGTAGGGTGTCTTTCATCTTCCGTAAGCCCTCGGGTTGCTTGGCCAACTTCCACCTCACCGAAGCCTTCGGCACCTTCCCTCTGCCTTTATGCGCTTCACCCTGTGTACGGTGGTGCAGTTGCTTCCGTAGCAACTCTGGAGTGGCAGGCAGAGATGCTTTCAGTGTACTTCACAGAGGAGGAAAGTGGGCCTCGGGGAAGTGGAGAAAGTGGACCATGGCACATTGTTAAACACCAGTAGTCGCAGGACTCACACCCAGGTTCTGGCACCAAGTCCAGTCTGCAGGTCAATTCAGGCTCTTAGAGTTGAGGCCCAAGCTTCCTGTCTTATGTAAGTGATGCCTGCGATGCCTGTGTTGTGGTGAAGTTGAATTAGCTGTTCAATGAACCTGCCACCTACCTTTTTGGTAGTTTCTGCTTTCTGTCTTTTGTCACGCTGGGCCTCTGCCTAGAGCTCTGCCTAGAGCCCTGTGTGTACCCGTGTATGGTGCTGCTGTCTCCAGTGTCATGCTTCAGGGCCCAAGCCACTCGCTTCCTTGCACACAGCTTCCCCGCCCCTCCTGTCCTGGGGGGACCCTGTGTCTTCACTTACATAACGCTCCTATCTCCCTAAGCTTGGCTTTGGAGTTTAGGTAAAGGCCTCAATTTTATCTGCCAGATTAAGGGATTACATGTTTCCTTTCTGGTCTGTAGCAGCCAACAGAGTTCTTTGCTTTTAAGGAGAGTATCAGTTAAGATCAGTGAATTTAGCTGTTTTGCATAATGATGAATAATAACAACCACCATTCAACTAAAATATACTGTCACACGAATTTTTTATTGAATCCTTGTTTTGTTTTGTTTTGTTTAGCTCTGTCTCACAAGTTTTGAGATGTTGTATTTTTATTTACATTTACATTCAGTCTAAAATATTTTCCAGTTTCCCTTGTGATTTCCTTTTTATGACCCATTGGTTATTTAGAAGTATGTTGTTTGTGTTATTTTCGAAGTATTTAGGGTTTTCCAGGTAATCTTTTTATTATTGATACCTGGTTTAATTCTGCTGTGGTCGGAGAACATATCCTGTATCATTTAAGTCCACTTAATTGTATAGAGGCTTGATTTATAGTCCAGAATATGATCTGCTGGGATGAATGTTTTATGTGGAATATTCCCCTGCTGTTCTGCGGAGTGTTTTATAAATGTCAGCTTGGTCAACTTGGTTGATAGTGTTGTTCAGTCTTCTATATCCTTATTGATTTCTGCCTACTTGTTCTATTGGTTACTGAGAGAGGAATGTTGACTTCTCCAACTATAATATTTCTCTTGTCACTTCTGTCACTTTTTGTTTGTTTGTTTCATGTTCTGAAGCTCCGATATTAAGTTTAGATACACTTGGTGTTATGTCTTAAAGACTTGACCCTCAGCATTATGAAATGCTCTTTATCTCTGGTGACATTGCTTGTTCTGAAGTCTACTTTGATACGCATGTAGGCACTCCAGCTTTCTTTTGATTAAAGTCTGCAAGATACGTCTTTTTCCATTCTTTTTTAACCTATTCGTGTCTTTATATTTAAAATGGGTTTCTTATAAATAGCGTATATTTGGGTCTGACACTATCTGTCTTGAGATACTTAAACCATTTATATTGCTTACATCTCCTATCTTGATATTTTTCCCATTATTTGTCACATCTATTTTTTGTTCTGTTTTTCCTCTTTTCATGATTTATTTTGGATTGAGGTTTTTTTTTGTTTTTTTTTGTGTTTGTTTTTACGATTCCATTTTATTTTCACTATTGTCTTGTTAGCTATTATCTGTCCTTCAGTTTTCTTGTGGTTGCTATAGGCTGTATAGTATACATCTTTAAATTTTCACAAGTTTTCTTCAAATAATGTACCACTTTATGTATAATGCAAGAACCTTTACAACGGTATACTTTAATTTCGCCCTCCCATACTTTTTGCTGTTATCATACACTTAAATGTATGCTGTAAATCTCACAGTATATTGTGTTAGTCTGTTCAGGCTGTTCAAGCAAATACCAGAGACTGAGTAGTTTATAAACAACAAAAATTTATTTCTCACAGTTCTGGAGGCTGGGAAGTCTAAGAGCATGGCCTGGACAGATTAGGTGTCTAGTGAGAGCCTGCTTCACTTCCTGTAACCTCACTGTCAGAAGAAGGCAGGAGGGAGCTCTGGGGTCTCTTTTATGAGAGCACTAATCCCATTCCTGAGGGCAGAGCCTAATCACCTCCCCAAGGCCCCACCTCCTAATACCATCACCTTGGGGAGGTGAGGATTTCAGCATATGGATTTTGGAAGGACGCAAGCATTCAGACCATAACATATGTGTTATCGTTATGGTAAAAACGTCTTTTATATTTACCCAAACATATCTCATTTCTGTGTTCTCTATTTCTTTTGTACAGATCCAGATTTCTATCTGGTGTCATTTGCCTTCTGCCTAAAACATTTCCTTTAACATTTCTCATAGTAGAGATCTTCCAGTGATGAATTCTCTAAGCTTTTATTTTGCTGTCAGTTTTGAAAGGTACTTTTCTGGATAAAAGATTCTAGGTTGATTGACTATTCTTTCAGTACTTTAATGCCATCTCTTTATTGTCTTCTGTCTTTGGTAGCTTCTGATGATAAGTCTGGTGGTGTTCATTATTCCTTTGAATATAATGTCTTGTTTTGTTTTCTGACCGCTTTTATTCTCTTCATTGCTTTTCAGCGAGTTAATTACAATGTACTTTGGCATAATTTTCTTTACGTTTATTCTGGTTAGGGTTTGTTGAGTTTTTTGGATCTGTGGGCATATAGTTTGTATTAAATTGGGAAATTTTTCAGCTGTTATTTCTTCAGATTTTTTTCTGTTCTTCCTCTCTTTTCTTTCTGGGATTACAGTTATACCTACGCTTATGTTAGATGCTTGATATTGTCCTACAAGCCACTGATGCCATGTTCAGTTTTTTCAGGTTTATTTCCTTTTCTGTTTCCTTTTGGGTAGTTTTGATTACCATGTCTTCTAATAGTAATCTTTTCTCCTGCGGTGTCTAATCTGTTGTTAATCCTAGCCAATATATTTTTCATTTCAGATACTATTATTCTCAGCTCTAGAAGTTCCATTTGGGTCTTTTTTTCTATGTTCCATTTCTCTCTTTATCATAATATTTTCTTCCATTTTCTGGAACATCCAGAATATGTTTTTTATAACAGGCATATTAACAACTTTGTCCTCAGGTTCCATCATCTCTGCCATTTGTGGGTCTCTTTCTATTGGTTAATTTTTGTCTTGGCCACGAGTCATATTTTACAGCTTTGCATTCCTGCTAGTTTTTTTTTTCTTTTTTGATTGGATGCTGGGTATTGTGAATTTTGTGTTGTTGGTTGCTGGGGTATTTTTTTGTGCTCCTTTAAATAATATTGGCCTTTTAAGTTTTTCTGGTGTGTAATTAAGTTACTTGGAATCAGTTTGATCCTTTGACAGGGCTGGTGCCAAGCAGCCTTCAGTCTAAGGATGACTGAGCACCACTTGTAAAACAAACACCCTTTGAGGATTGTGTCACCCGAGGCCCTGTGCATTATGAGATCTTTCCACGCCGG